AGTTAGCAAAAATATATAAATTCCAGAAGTGTATTAATGAAAAATTCAAAAATAGTACAGTTTGTCTGAAAAAATTCCTCAAGAAATGTTGTGCAGGTGTAGAACATTAAGAGTCCATTTCCCTAGTCCGAAAAGGTAGGAAAATAAGCGTTCGGAATTTAACGTTTTGTGTAAAACTGGCTAGGTATTTTTACACAAATGAAGAAGGGAATTAAAGATAAAGGATTATACTATATCCGTATTGTAACACATTTTTAGACAACTTCTTTATTTTTAAGATTTTGATGGTTAAACATCAACAAAATATTTCTTATGTTTGGACTAAATTTTTTCGAAAATAAAGACATAATTTAAAATTCCGTTACAATACGGAAATAGATTGAAGTTTTGTGATTACAGTGATATATAATTTATATGGTTGTGTAACTAATTGCTCGCTATTTTATGGCAAATGCTGAAGCTCTGCAAACGTTAATCAAGCCTTAATCAAAGCACGCGTGTTTGGAATTTTAGGTGTGGTTTAACACGACAGGATCGGGCTAAGCCTTAGGCAGATTTCTAAAATATAATATATATTTCCTTCGGCCACACACCCGCTTTACCCGACCCCTGTGGGGCCCTATTCTGTATCTTTTTCGGTTTCGGATCCGAAAATTCGATTCGGTTCGCTACCGAACGATAGAGCTGTCGAATGTTACCATAGCGCGCATTGCGATTCTGTATTGCTTTTCGGCAACCGTTCGGTTCGGTTTCGAAGCAATCGAAAAACAATCATGGTTAGAGCATGACTGAGCATGACAGTAGAACGTGATAGTGACAGTGACGCTTTAAAATTTTGTATAGGTTCAAATTCTAAAGGCTAGATAGAGGCAATTAGAAGCGAGTTGGACCCTGCCATGTATCTGAAACCCACAAAAACTTGTAGTTTTTGCCACCAGTGCAACATGTTTCTTAGCATACATACATACTGCCAATACTCGCTGACGAGTATTTGACACGTATCAGGAGATGGTTACGCAAGGCGTTTTCTTTTATGAGCTTTTCTGTGACTGAAAATTCCGATACGTGATGTTATCTCTCTTCCGCACTCCGGACATTCAAAAATCGCATTGCTTTGTTGCCTCTTTAGTTTTTGGTTGTCGCTGTTAACTGAGATCACAATTGAGGCGTTTTTTGCAAAAATCCCATTTGTCATTAATTGCAACTTTCGAGAAAAGTAAAAAAAAGTGTTTTAATTGGATGTAAGTTTGATTACAAAAATTTTAATATTAGTAGTTGATCAGTTTGATAATTAGGCACCATTTCGCAATATAAATAATATTTTTTTTCTTTCGGTTTTGTTATAGGGGTCATTTTTAATTTGATATATGGGGTTTTTGCAGACAATTTTTATAGTTTTATAGAAAAAAGATATTTTTAAATATGAAACTTAAACATTTTTGTTAAATGATTTTTTCAAAAGATCATTTTTATTCAAAACATGTATGTAGGTACAATAAAATTAATAATTAATCTTCATCATTCATAGCACCTACTGATATCATGCTCATCTAAATCAGTAATGCGCTTGGACGGACAAGATGATTCCGCGAATAGTTTGAACTGTCCGTCCACAAGATGATTCCGTGAATAGTCTGTTATAAGAGTTTTTGACCTCGGTTTGATTAAAATATTCAGTTAAATATTGTGGGTTTTTCATTTTTTCGCTGTGGAATATCTAAACGTTAATTATTGAAGGATTTAAATTCAAATTCTTTGGGTATACCACGTTTATCTTTGATAAGGCATTTTTCCCAGTTATCTGTATAAGTCTGTCGTACCAAAACAACCCCAGGTTCACTGGTGGATGAGCAGACTTCAGAAAAAATTCCGATAATTTCGATAATAAGAGCTCATAGTTTCCCGTAAAAACAACGTAAGTCAATGACATCTGTGGTTTTTCGTGAAAACGTACCTTGATATATGGGATTTATGCAGAATCAGCGATATTTTTGTCGCTTATATCTTGGACAACTATCATTTTTGGAGAATTATTTCACGCAAGGGCTGTAGTTAAATACTCCATCAATTTATAGATGACGTAAGTACATTTTGGAAAAAAATTGACAAATGGGGTTTTTGCAAAAAACGCCTCAATTCTTCTCCTCTGCATACGTGACCAGCCCATCTTAAGCGGGATTTTGTAATCATGACTTCAACCCTCTCGCAGCTATCTTTTTCAAGGACCGATACCTTTGAAACATAGTGGGATCATTTGATTCTTAAGAGTTGTCTAAGGTGTCTCTGTTACAATTTGTTTAAGGCGTTCATGTGCCGGCGGTACAGCATCCAGGTGTCGCTTCCGTATAACAAGGTGGGGATTATTATTGCTCGGTACACTGCACGTTTCGTTTTTGTGCTCAAGTCATGATTGTAGAAAACCCTGTCTTTTAAGTTCCAGAATACTCTTGCGACGCTGCTAATCCGGTGCTGAATTTCAGAGTCGATACTGGCCTTTTCCGAAATCAAACTGCAGAGGTAATTGAATTCCGCTACATATTCCAATAGTTCTTCTCCGATTTTTATGGCATTATTGTGATCTTCCGGGGGAGTGCACATGATTTTAGTTTTGTCGATGTTCAGCTTAAGGCCCAAAGCTTCGTATGCCCAGGTATATGTGTTCAACATTTATTGTAGTTGCTGTAACGTTTTTGCAACTAAAGCACAGCCATCAGATTTGTTAGCAAGAACTACAGTGAAAGAGTAATCAATTATTTGTATTATCGGTAGATATCTACCGACGGAAGAAGATTAAATATTTGGATGATAATTTAGTTTCCTTCCAGTGCAGTGGTTCAAAATGTTTTTTTTTGAATATTGAAAATATTTTGTTTTGGGTCATTTATGATAATATGTTCACTATAGTATAGTTTTTGTGAGTTAGCAAAGTTATATATATTTTTTTCTATCTTGAATACTAAAAATTTTTCGTTTCGTTACTTTTTGATACAATAAAGTTTTTTTATGCGTTAATGAAGTAAATAAGTATTAAAAAATTTGCTTGACATTATCTAACATGTTAAATTTTACAATAAAATATTACAAATTACAGAATATTTAAAAAATATAAATGCGGTACGGAATACCCCAACGCGTCCGGTCGTGGTGTGATTCTAAAGTACGCGCCTGCCGTACGAGGGTTAATTTTATAATAACACGGAGTAACTAAAACACTATCTACCAAATAACTAATTTCTTTTTAAGTAACGTTGTAGATAACCTCTTTCAATGTTAATAAAATAATAGTAAATTCAAATCGTATTTCTTATCCTTTTCCACCGACGAACCAAATGCGATGAAAAAGCCCAGCAAAAGCGTTGGAGTATTGAAAGTGGGTACCGACGAAAAATATGGGTTCGACAGTATAGGCGATAGTTATTTTTAGTTTAAATCGCGCTTTTTTGATTTTCAGTTAAAACTGGCTTTGTGTAGGCATACCGAGTTTTTATATTGACCATAATAAGGCAATGTTACAAAATAGCGGGTTTACTGAACCGCGACGTTTTGCTTAATTTATTAATTCTATAATATCGATATTTTGTAGACCTGAGTAGATCTAAAATTCAGTGGTTGGTGCTAGTGTTTGATGTCGCCACATGGATCTGTTTAGATCTTTTAGGAAAAAACTCGGGTCGGTCAATAAATTCTGCAACCTCCATGAACTCCCGGGCCTTTAAATGCACTCACCGGCACGAAAAACGGGCAACTTAAAATCTTCATGTATTTTAAAGTTTTATATCCTATTGTGTTCTAGTGGGCCCATTTTGATGAATTTTTAAGCAATTTGTAGCTAAATTAGTATCTATCTAGCTTTTCAGTATCTCTTGCTAAATTAAAAATGAATGTTTCCATCTGTCAATTATACAAGGGAAAACAAAATGTTGATATTTTGCTGAAAGTTTAAACCCCCCTGTTTAATATACAGGGTTGTTCACCACATACGACACGGAGTATTGTAGCTAAATGATTAGATTTTTACAAATTGTAAGTTTTGGGTTCGTTGAAGGACTATTAGAGCTATAATTACAGATACAAGATACAGAGTGTCCCAAATAAATAAAAAATATCAAAGTTGTATTTTTTAAATGGAACACCCTGTATATTATTACATTTTTAGTTTCTACGATTAAAATAAAGGTAAATTTGATTAAGATTTATTACACTTAAACCTTACCGTTTTTGAAATATTTTCAATTTTGTGAAATTGCGGTAAAAAATTTAAGGCTTTAAAATATTTACTGAAGTCTATTTATTGATCAGTTATTGTGTTGCAATAATAAAAATAATACTACCTCATACAGAGTGTCTAAAAATTTATTTTAAATTATTGGCCAGCTTTAAACGACAATAACTTGTTTAATTTAAATGGAACGCCCTGTATATTTTAGGAGAAGCAGATGCACAATTTAATTGTCTATCAAATTGTATAATACGACTTTTTATCTATCCCTTCAAGTTTTCGTAGAAAATGCATTTTCTTATAATTTAGACCTCATTTATCAATATACCCATGGAATATTGACATTTTAGATTGTAATTTTGACTAAAACAACAAAGTACAAAGTACAACAAATTTCTAAATACAAAATCGAACGAAAGTAAGCATGAATACAAAACAGCACAAAGAATTGTACGCACAGCTATAACAAAAAAGAAAAACGAAAGCTGGGAAAGAAACTGCACAAGTATTAATACATATATAGGAGGTAGTAGAAGTACCGAAAGTTGGAGAATATTAAGGTCCCTTCGAAAAGAGAAGACTAAAAATATCATCTCACCAATTACATTACCAAAATGCTCGCCAAAATGGGACGAATACTTTGCTAAACTGTTCACCAAAGAAAGGGCCGAATACCAACAAACATTGCAGCCACAATCCGACATTCAAATAAAAACCGCAGCTTCTCCACTGAAGATCAATACCAAAGAAGTAAAACTGCCAAAAATATAAATATCTTGGCATGCACATTACCAACGATGGTAGCCTTGATGAAGAAATTAAGTGCAGAAACAACCAGGGAAGACAAGCAATTAGACAACTCAACAGTATTTTATGGGATAACGCCGTGTCAAAAGAAAACAAACACAAAATATATAACAGCATAGTTAAAAGTATTATTAGTTATGGTAGTGAAGTATGGCCTTTGAAGGAAAGAAACCTTAAGTTACTCGAAGCTACAGAAATGGACGTTTGGAGGCGCGCGGCCGGAAAATCGAAACTGAAGAGAGTTAGAAATGAAAGAATTCAGAACATCATGGGCGTTAAACACAGAATATCAGAAGATATCAAAATTAACCAACTCAGGTGGTACGGGTACGTGCAAAGAATGGAAGAGAGCAGAATCCCGAAAAAGGTACTCAATTGGACACCACAAGGCAGACGAAAGAGAGGGAGACCTAGACGGAGTTGGAAAGAAGGAATAGACGGGGACATCAGAACAAGAGGAATAGACGAAAACCTGAGACCAAGAGACCAATGGAGACTGGAAATTCAGAAGACGGCGAAGAACGTTGTAAACTGATTTGTATATATATATATATATATATATATATATATATATATATATATATATATATATATATATATATATATATATATATATATATATATATATATATATTGACTGCAAGATCTGCATGCAAAAAAATAAGCTTAAAGTATCACAACACAATTCACTTAAACCATAAACTTGTGATTTGTAATACAAAACTAAAGTGTCAAAACGAATCCAAATGTCAGGGAATAAATAAATGTGGCAACAGCTCCGAGCCGAATATATCCATGGTTGGCAACAATGAATTTAATAATATAAACGTAGCTAAAAGTGTATTTGGTATCGGTTATAAACGTGTATTCTTTGATGAAAAAATTAATACTCACCCGATATAGTCATTCTATTTCCGATATGATCATCATTCCTTTGTGGTCTTGGACTAGCTGACAATATCCACGTGTTGTGTGATTCCATATGAACGGACCAGGATTCATTTAAGGTCCTCAAGAGTTATCACTAATACGCCTGTTTAAAGAAGACAGAATTTTAGTGTGGCATAATTTAATTATACAGGGTCAGGCAAAAGTGCGTCGGGCACCTATAGCTCCTACAATAAAAACTTGGGAATTGCAAATATAAAGTATGTAATAGGATGTATTTCAGGAAAATATTTTAACTTCTCTAGAGTAGCTCAAAAAAGTGTGAGTGGATCGGGATGATTTTTTTAAATAGAATACCCTGTATATTATTGCATGTTTGGCTTCATTTTAGATCACTTTACATAATTCTAAAATATGAGTAAATCTATTTAGATAGTTTCAGTGATATTAATAAATAAATAAAAAATATATATTTTTCAGTCTTTCTTAAAAAAATTATTAAAAATACAAGAACCTGTCTTGAAATCAAAACTCTATTAGCTATTTACTTTAGATGGTTTGTACTTACTTCGCAATAAATATGGTAATCGTAAATAACACAGGTTGTTTAGAATTCTACGCCAAACTTTCTTTTTTTTTCTTTTTTAAATGGAACGTCCTGTATATTATTTTTTCAAAGATGCAGAATTTTTTTTTAACGATTTCGGAGATATTCACGGTTTTATATTTCATATGGCATTTTCCACAGTAAATATTTAACAAAGCTACACAATAATTTTTATCTCGTATTTTACCATTGAAACAGCCATATGAAATAATACTGCGGTATCTGCAAAACCATTAAAAAAATTTAAATACTTTTTTTTTTACCTTTAAATACAAAAAATGTTCATTTTATGATTCTCCATCTAATAAAAAATAATATACAATGCATTCCATTTAAAAAAACAAAGAAAAATTATTTTATATTTTTTATTTTATAAAAGTTTGGCATAGTATTTTGAACATCCTGTATGATTTAATATTACGATATTTATAACAAAGTAAGTATAGACTATCTAGAGTAAATACTTAATATAGTCTTGATTTCAAGAGAGTTCTTGTATTTGTAATAATTTTTTTAGAGTAGGTTAAAAAATACAATTGTTTTATTAATTTATTAATATCTCTGAAATTATCGAAATAATTTATTCAAATCTTATGACGATGTAAACTGATCTGAAAGAAAGCCAAATATGCAATAATATAGAGGGTTTTCCATTTAAAAAAGATCATCCCTATCCACGCACACTTTTTTGAGCCACCCTATAGAAGTTAAAATATTTTCCTGAAATACATTCTCGTACATACTTTAGGTTTGCACTTAAACAAAAGTCCCAAGTTTTTTATTCTAGGAGCTAGAGATGCCTGACGCACTATTGTCGAACCTTGTATACATACAATTATTGACGCAATATATTTTCCTATATTAGCCCATGATGTAATATTAGAAAAATACTACCTAGATACTCAGATTATTAACATCACATAAATAACATCCAACATAAGACGATTTCAAATAAGCCTTTCTTTTACATGTTCAATGAATCAATATATTTCAAAATTGTCAGATTTGCATTAGTGCACTGTTTTGATGGTCAACGTCCATTAAACTCGAAACCTGGGATACCTTTTAGTTTTGTTTACAAGTATACATTTCCTTTAGATATTTACATTATTTGAATAAATAATTTTATTCATAGTCTACCAAAACTTGCTTCAAGTGTTTAAAAAGCAAATAATTAAAATGATTTCGATTTAGACGAGGTATAGAACATTTATAGTAAATTGTGCTTTATTTTAAAAATTTTCGAGCTTTCAGTTTGTGACTGGGACATTGATAGATCTTTCAAAAATAATAGCTAATTTCGAGTTTTTCTTATTACCGATTCCAAACTGCCCTAGGACTGTGATTAATCAAAGCAAATGCAAGCTGAAGCAAAACTCCTTTTTTCTTGGTCTTGGTCCTAGAGTCTAATACGTACTTGGTCTTGCTCTTGGTTTTTCAGGGTTCTATCTTGGTCTTGGTTGTGATGTAAGACTAAAGGTACATTCAGGCTGAGAGCGTCAAGCGTCGCGTCTCGTTTGCATCGCGTTTGCGTCGCGTCCGCCCCATTGAACTCCAACCCCGACGCTCAGCGGACGCTAGCGCAACCCCAAACGCGACGCTGTCTGCCTGAATGGTCTAACTTAAGTTAAGTGAATTGATTCCATTTCAACACGCGGACGCAACGCAAACGCGACACGACGCTCGACGCTCTCAGCCTGAATTTGCCTGAATGTACCTTAAAGGATTTGATGTTGGCAGGTTTTGCGCCTTTTTAATAGAGATTTCTACTAAGAAAATTTTCTAATGTAAAACTTGGAAAATAAGTTGGGTATAATAATGGTTTTATAATTCGGAAACTCTCTATTTATTTATCTAGTAATGCTAAAACACTCTATTTGGAAGTCGATTAGAGAAAATAGTATGATTCATTGGCAAGTAATGTAAATATTTACGATCCGGTAAAATTGTGATGTAAGAGGAGGCTTAGCTTGACTGAGGCGAGTCAGTTGTTGATAGGCCGGCCGGCTGTTGTGTTGTGTTTTATCATAGAGCTGATATTTGGGTTGAGAGTCTTTTGACTATAAACGTTGCAAGTACTGTAAGGCAACGGGTCGTTTGACTGGAAGAAAACCTCTTGTGACGTCTTGCCTTCGAGGTTGGTCTTGAGAGTTTGAGGTCTCCCTTGTCTTCTCGATTGACGCGGCGTTGGGGTAGTGAGCTACCCCAATTAGCTTATTCGATTGGGATGCGAATCTGTTTAGCGACAGATTTGCGGCCGGGGGAAGCCCCTATACTATTTCAGGTGACACTAGCTAGTTGTTGAAGATTATTAATCAATATATAACCGAATGATATTTGAATTAGATGGAAAATATGGAATGGGATATATTGAATAGAATATATCAGTGGCTAGGGGGCGGAGTACTCCAGGGTGAGTCTTACTATTTAACTATCAATTTTATCCAGATCAGTAAATGTTTGTTTTGTTATTTTTATGTACAATGAGAGAGTGCTTGCCAATGACCAACTAAATGGATATTTGAGGTGAATTTGCATTGTGAGACCCGGTTGAGTAAGCCCCAGAAATAAGCGATTTTACACTAAGTCATAAAATCTTTAAATCAATAATAATTTAATGTAAATGAGACTCTAAAGAGAGAAACAATATTATTTGTCTGGTAAAATTTTTTTATTTTTTTTTCTTTAAAATTTTATCGTCGTGAAAACTCTATTTGCAATCAATAGACAATAATTTTGACACATGATATAAAATACAATTATTATCAGATCAAATAAATCAGGAAGAGCTTTAACACAGAATATTACAAAAAAAGAAAAATATGCTTTAGTTTATATAACAAAAAAACATTAAATACTTTGCCATTAATAATATATTCCTTTCTCACAATAACAAAACTTACACACTAAAATAACATCGATGCGTCTTGACTAGTTATTTGAAAACAATTACCTAACACATATTATCATCTCCGTTTTTTTGTCAGATTTCCCTTATCCTATTTTGCGTGTAAATATTTTAAAAATCAATAATTATTTATGTATACATAGTGTCTTAAAATTGAATGTTTTTGATATAAAGAAACATGGACGTTAAAGAAATAATATGTTTATTTTAAATGGAACACCCTGTATATTATTAGTTTGGCTTCCTTTCTGATCACTTTACATACTCTTAAGATCTTTTCAAATAAGTTTTGTTAGTTTCATAGATATTAATAATTAAATAAAAAAGATATTTTTTTCAGCCTTTTTTAAAAAAAAATTATTAAAAATACAAGAAATGTCCTGAAATCAAAACTATATTAGGTGTTTACTTTAGATAGTCTGTACTTACTTTGCTATAAATACCGTAATCTTATATCATACAGAGTGTTCAAAATTCTACGGCAAACTTTCTAAAGTGTAAAATAATTTTTCTTCGTTATTTTAAATGGAACACCCTGTATATTATTCTTTTAATAGATGGAGAATTAAAAAATGAACATTTTTGCATTTAGAGTATTTCAAAATTTTTAACGGCTTCGCAGCTACTCGCGGTATTATTTCTCTTATTGTTGTTACTCTTTTACTCGTTTATATTACTCTTTCAATGGTAAAATACGAGAGAAAAATCATTGGGTGCTTGTGATAAAAATTTACTGTGGAAATATACCTATAAACCCTATGAAATATATATAAATATAAAAAAAATATAAACCGCGAATATCTGCGAAACCGTTAAAAATTTTGAAATAATCTGAATACTAGAAATGTTCATTTTTTTAATTCTCCATCTAATAAAAAAGTGATATACATGGTGTTCCATTAAAAAAAAATAAGAAAAATTATTTTATATTTTAGGTTTGGCGCAGAATTTTGAACATCATGTATGATTTAAGATTACGATATTTAAAGCAAAGTAAGTACAAGCCATCTAAAGTAAATACCTAATACGGTTTTGATTTCAAGACAGTTCATGTATTTTTAGTAATTTTTTAAAAAATGGTTGAGAAATAGATATTTTTTATTTATTTATTAATATCTCTAAAATATCGAAA